TTTACTTCTCTGTGCCTGTATTCTCTAGGACAAGACTATCAGCACAAGCTTGGCAGTTGTGGATTTAATCGATGCCATCCAGCCTGGTTGTATCAACTATGACCTAGTAAAGACTGGTCACCTATCAGAAGATGACAAGCAAAACAATGCTAAGTAAGTTTGCTCTCTCAGAAGCTGTTTTGCATTGCAAAGGGGCACATTCAGCTGGCCTCAAGCTGCAGGTGTTTTGACCAGTTTATTGCTGTGCTTTTCAGTCTCTTTTAGCACAGTACTTTTTACACAGGCAGCACTTAGTGAAATCGAGTTGCTGTCCTTGCCTGTGACACTGGAGGGAGCAGTTGGCTGAACTCTGGCTTGCTGAGAGAAATGCTGTTCTTACCAGTGACACTCTTACTTCTCACCTGTTTGTTCAGGCATTTGAAGTGTTCAGGCATTTGCGTGTGGCTCAGAGATTTGAAATTAAATCCTTGTATATCTTATGTCTTGTGGAATCATCACAGGTTGTCAAGTTTAAAGTATGCATATTAAAACATGCCTTTGAAATGTTTGTTCTGTGACTGTTCTCCAGTGGCAGAATGACAGCAAAATTTCTGGTGGATGATAGTCTCACTTTGTTATTCATCAGGACCAAACAGAAAAGGAAGTGTTACATGATTAATCCTTCATTATATATGCTATTAGCCCTAACAAATATTAATTAAGATTCCTTAACTGTCAGTAAAGTGGACTTGACATTCAAAGGTCACTTTACTGTGGAAAACAGCAAAAAATGAGACAAACTTGTAAAACAAAAGGATGTGGTGTGATTAAACTGTTCCACATCTTGAATCTTAATAAAGAATAGGTGAAATTGTGTTGCATGGGGCAGGATTTGACTTGCCATTTACTGGTAGTAGTCTTGGTGCTGACCACCTTATCTTTCCATGGTGAATAGGTATGCTGTGTCCATGGCAAGAAGAATTGGTGCCAGAGTTTATGCTCTTCCAGAGGATCTTGTAGAGGTGAAGCCAAAGATGGTCATGACCGTGTTTGCCTGCTTGATGGGCAGAGGAATGAAGCGAGTATAAAAGGGATGATCCACGTGAAGCAAAAAAAAACCAAAATGCAACAAAAACCCAACCTGCCACCCTGGGTGCATGAGTAGCAGATCGGCTGTGACCACGCTGAAATGCTGTTGGCCTTGGAATTGCTGAAGTTCAAAGGACTTTGTTTTGCTTTGCAAGACAAATTTATCAAAATTCTCAGGGGGAGGAGTTATAACCAACAGACGTGCTCTTTTCCCAAAGGAAAGTTTAACTTATCAAGAGCTCACAGAAATGCATTCATAGCAGACCTGCATCTTGCAATATTGCTCTGGAGCTGTTTTCACTCCATTATTTCTCAGATACTTGACGTGTGGTTTTATACCCTTGAGGGCTATAAGGTGGTTGGTATAAGTTGTAATGGAAACAAATCTAATTTCTGTCTGCAGTCCACTTTAATTTCTGTCCTACAGTCCAAGCATATTTTAGGTTTGACCACATCCTTAATTTTGCAAGTAAATCTACAGTACAAGTTGGGACCTGCAGGCCAGCTCGCAATGCTAAATGAGAAATGTGTAATTAGGAAGATGTACTTCCTCTGGTATTCTTTGTACATGGTGCTTTTTTGTACATCTAACTATTTTGATTACTTTACAGATAAAGCATGGCAGTTTTTTCTCTTGCTGCTTATAAAAAGTTGTGGGGTTTTTTGTTTGTTTGTTTGTTTTTTATGGTTATACTACATATGATAATACCACCATCCTTGGACCTCTTGCAGTAACATATGATCGTGTTGCTGATGGCGTGGTTACACCTGAGAATGGAAGTGAATGCATTTTTGTATGCATCTTGGTTCAGTTCTGTGCACCTAGAAAATAATTTTTACAGAAATTTGCATGAAAACTATAACTTTTTTATTTAAAATGCTGTTAAATACAAAACCATACTACATTGTGGAGCGGTTTTGTGCAGGGAAGAGGCAAATGGTATAAACAGCAGGGTTCAATAAAGTGAACAGCAAATGTGCTGGAATATAAAGTTATTTTTAGAGATAAATGGAAGGAAGCATTGTCGCCAAAGAAGGAAGATGCTGTATCCATAGGATTTCATATTCTCTTGCTTTGGCAAGCTGTTTGCTATATTTTGAGATCATATTGCTATTCCAAGCTATTCAAAGTGATGTAATATGGTGGCAAAGCATCAGTTGAAATAAAAACATTTAAATACATGCTTCTCTCCTTATTTGCACTGACCCAGCATGGCAGCCTGTCTTCAGCTGCAGCTGGTGCTGCTGGGCTGCAGTGCCACACTCAATCTCTTCATCTGTATTGGCTTGGTGTAAATCTGATGCTAGGTACTGGTCCTTCAGAGCGTGGTGAGGGCTTGGTGCTGCTGGCAGCACAGCAGGGAAAGGTCCCTTAAAAGCAGAGTTTGTGTGAAGCAGCAGCTTCTGTGTTGTTGTGCCTTGGGGGCTTCAGAGGTTAACATTTGTATGAGGGCTAATTGAGTGAAAAGGAATTAATTTTCCTGTGTGTAGGAGATGAAAAAAGGGCAGGTGAAAAGGAGGAATTTGACGGAGCTGAAGAGAGGCTGGGGCACCTGGAAGGAGATGAGCAGGAGCCCTGGCATCTGCAGGGGTGAGGGCATGGGCTGTGGTGGCACTGGCTGGGAGTGCTCCCTGCTCTGGGTGTGCAGTGTCAGCAAACCACCCCAGTGATTCCCTGCATGAAGCCTTGTGCAGAGCTGGCTGGAAACTTTCCACTGGTACAATTTTTTCACAAGAAAAGTATGTTAACAAAGCTTCCCACAGGAAATTGCATGTTTTCACTCAAGATGGAGCGATATACCATAAGTACAGCCACAGCCATCCCACTGAAACTATGTTCTGGTGATTTATGGCACTTGCTGGGGGTGTGGTGTGATTAAAGTCAAAATTCTTGGACTTTGGAAGTGGCCATGTGCATGTGTACTGTCTTGCCTCTTTTGCCTCCTGGTACCAGGTTAAAGAGGGAGAAATGGGTACTTTGTCAATTATAGAATGGGAAAGCATCTCCTTGTGCTGGATGTATTTAAGAAAGAAAAGTTTGGAGTCCAAACAAAGCAGATCTCTCACACTGAAGGTCCAGTACAGGGCAACCAGGACAAACCCAGTGCTTTCCCTCCAGTAAACACTCTTCACAAGCAGGTTTTCAAATAGTTTGTTTTGTTAAACACACCTAAGATTTTCAACAGGAGATGTAAACTTTAGCACATTTCCTTCTTCCTGCAACTCTTCTTGCTCTTTAATATTAAATTATTTGTTAGCATATATACTTTGTTTTGCGTCTTCAGTTCCATACTTTTTTTCCCAAGGTTTTTTTTAGCAGTGTAACCTTTGTTCATATTGATTTTTTTTTTAACATTTGGACTTGCTGCTGCCCTTGTTGGGTGCATGTTGTTCTTACCCTTCATCTTAAGGTCCTCCTTCAAATGTCTTTGCCAGCCCAGACTGCCTCCTCAGGGTCTGTGTTTTCTGGCCTTCTTGTATTCCTTGCAAGTTTCATTTTTTTGTGGATTAAAAATGTAGCAGCATATTCTCCCTGAGCATACTGTGTATAACTTTTTAAATATTTCTATGACTTTTTATCATAGCACAGAGGAAGCAATTTAGTTGTATTCCTGTTACTGTTTAATGAGGTGGTGGTGTAAAAGTGGAAGGAATATTTTCTCAAAGTGTTCAGAGATGGCAAGGTTCTTGTCCATATAAATATTTTACCAGTTTGTATTATTCAGTGGGAAAAATTGAATCCTTTAGGGACTTAAGAAATTGCTGAGGTGGACTTTGCTTGCTTTTTTGCTTCTGCCTTTTTCTATTGCAGCTTGATAGAGAGTAATGCCAAAGCAAGAAACCAGCTGGAGTATTTTTCCACCACTTCTTAAAGTATGTGAAGCTGAGGAAAGTGAAGATGATGAAACAGCACAAAGAATGTAAGCAAAAATTTATTGTATTGACTGTTAATGCTTTGCACAAACCTAATCACAAATATAACGAGGATGCAGCATGTGTGGTTTTGCTGTGGAGCCCCACTTTGTCCCTTCCCTGGTGTAACAGCAAAGGTTGGTCCTGCTCTGCACTCCATGGCAGCTTTCCCATGTGAAATTGTGCTGGTTTGTCTGTTTTCACCCCTAAACAGGGTTTATTCCTCTCTTACCTCTTATCAGCTTGGGATAATTCCTCTAAGGACAGGGACAAATGTGGTGTGTCTGGCACACATTCCTTTGCTTCCTTCTGTGAGCACCCAGTAAACATTGGATAAGGGCTTTTAATATACCTGCACAAATGGAAAATTCCATTTGGGAGGACAGAGAAGGCTGATGGGTGTCTCCCAGCAGCTGAAGGGAGGCAGACTGGGGATATGGCACTGGAATTGTGCTGTGACAGAGCTCTTGGACTGCATGCAGGGAGATAGACACAACTTGTACAAACCTTTCCTGAGACAAATGACCTCCTTGCAGGGGTAAATGCAGAGCCACTTTAGCTGAGGTTCAGTGCTGTGAGGAACAGCTGAGTGATAAAATGTTTTACATGGTGATGGTTTTGCCCACACCTCCAATACTTTCTTGCATTCTAACAGCAGAGATCCCCATGTGCCTGCTGTGGGAAGGTACCACATGCTCACAGCACTGCTGATGGGCTGGGCCTTTTCTTAAGGGCTCCAGATGTCCTGGAGCACGTGGAATTTATTCCTATTTCAGCAGTACTCACAATATGCCCAGTATGGGCTGGGCACAGGAAGGCAGCTCCTCCCAGGGAGGTCACACCTGGCTGTGGTCAGTTGGGAAATGGGGAGGGCAGAGGGGAACATGCTTCCAGCCCCACATCACCAGCACAAGCCCCAGCCCTGAACTTGCCAACGAGAGCATTTGCGTTGAATTTTGATGTTAGCATTTCAGCCCATAAATGAAATAATATATTCCTACATAACGAAATCCCTTTATTTCCATATAAAACCCACTGTCACGAAAACCATTGTTCATAAACAAAATGTCAAGAGCACAAACAAGCAGTCCCCACTTTATGATTCGAACACCATTAGAACGTGGCCGCCGCGGTGCCCCATCCCCTCTCGGTGTACCAGGCGAGTGCCAGCAGGATGAGCTGCCCGGGCCTGGGGGGCCTGGGGGCCACGCTGGTGCCGGCCACCCCGCACTTGTCCTCGGTGGCCGGTGGCGGTGGCACGGGGCAGTCCCCCAGGGGCCCCGTGGTGTTGGCGGGGCCGGGGAAGGCGCAGTCCAGCCCCTCGAGGAGCGCCCGGCGTGGGGAGCGCCAGAGCCAGAGCGTGCTGCAGTCACAGCTCCAGGGGTTGTGGGACAGGAACACGTATCTCAGCTTGGGCAGCTCGGACAGCAGGCGCCTGGGCAGGGAGCTGAGGTTGTTTCTGCTCAGGTGGAGGAAGTGCAGCTTGTTTAGGTGTAAAAAAGCAGAGTCTGAGATCGAGGAGATCTGGTTGTTGTTCAGGTACAAGTTTCTCAAGTTGAGCAGCTGTCTGAAGGTGCAGTCGACGGCAGTGATTCTGTTGGCTTCGAGGTGCATGGTCTTGAGCTGGATCAAGCCTTCAAAAAGCTGATTAGGCAAATCAGTGATGAAGTTGTGTCCTAAATTTAACATGCCCAGTCTGAGAAGCTTTGTAAAAGCTCCGTTTTGAATGATCCATATCCGATTCTTTCTGAGATTCAGATCGCACAGAGTTTCCAGGTCCTTCAGGGAATCTCTGCCGATGGCTTCTATGTGATTGCCCTCCAGGGACAGCCTCGTGAGGCTGGAGAGGTTCCTAAAGGCTTGTGGAACATACCTCATGTTATTGGCGGCTAAATCAAGACTTTCTAAAGAAGGCAAGTGTGAAAATAGAAGTGGGTGGATTTCGAAGATATTGCAGTGGGACAAATCCAGGCTGATGAGGTTTAATAGTCCTCTGAAAGTGTTTGCGTGCAGGTAGGTGAGGCGTGAGTTCCTGCTGAGGTGCAGCTCTTGCAGCCTGCTGAGAGTATGGAAAGTTCCTGGGGTCAGGAAAGTCAGATTGTTCCCATCTAGCCAGAGGCTGTGAAGGAAAGTCAGGTTTCTGAAGGTGTTGGTGTTGAGAATCCGCAAATAATTGTTGGAGAGGTTTAGAGAGATGGTGGATGGTGCTATTTCTCCAGGTAGGGTTTTCAGTCCAGCTCTGTTGCAGAGGATGGTCTCTTCAGGTGTACATTTGCACATGCTTGGGCATGAATTGGAGACATTCAGACTCAGCCCAGCCTTTGCTGCACAAGTAAATATAAATACAACGAGAAAGAACATGACCAGCCACACATCAGCCACAGCATCTAATACCTGATGGATAGTAGAGAAGGAGGCAAGAAAAAGAGCGTGTACCTTTTGGGCAGGTGAACCACGGGCAGGGCAGGGTCGGTTGGACTGTGCACAGTGAAAATAAATTAGCTGGTTCCTCCTGCTGCAACCCCGTGGGGATTAAGTGTTTAGGCACGTCAAAGCTGATTAAGTGCTGCCCTGAGAGGCAGGGAGACTTCTCGGCCCAGCATCATGCTCTGAGAGTGGTTTTTCTCACCTCCAGCCCTCTGCAAACAACAAGAGGTAACAGACTTCCCCTGGCAGCTGTCTGGGAGAGGCTCCTGCTCATGGGTTATCACCATTCTCAGTCTGCTTGGCAGTTGGCTCAAAAAAAAACTCTTCTGGGAGGAATTTTTGTGATTTTCTGCAGCTGGAGCTTCAGCAAAGGCAGTGGAAGGTGGCTCTGCCATCCAGGTGTGAGGTGAGGGCGCTCACCCTGACAGAGGCTGCACACACTGACAGATGCCCCAGGCTCAGGCTCAGGGATTTCCCTTGGTGATGGCTGTGACTCCTCTGCAGTAAAATGGGAGACTGCCAGGAGCTGTGCAAGGCTCATGTTCTCTGACATGAGAGACATTTCTCTGACATTTTTCTCTGGGAAAGCACAGAGGAGTGCTGTGTCCTGGCAGTGCTTCTTCTTGGGATAAGCCCTATGAGAGATGAAAAATGAACCCTGTGGTTGAAACATGGAGCACCCCAAGGGCACACTGTCCTTCCCAGGGCACTGCTTCCAGGGAGTCTGAAGATGCCACTGAGCAACTGAAGCTGGACTTTGGTCCTTAAAAATCTGTGTCCTTGCCCCTGCTCTGTTTTTTATCCTATATCCACAGTGCAAAGGGAAAGTGTATTTGGGGGCCTGATTGATGAACTCAACAGCCAGGGGTCAGCAATCTCCAGACTGATCATTCTGCAGGAGGGTTTGCAGCTGGTGTGTCATTAGGGCAGCCAGTGACACGATTGCTGCTCTTGGTTTTTGTCACTCTTAATTTTTCTTCTCCACTTTGCTCTGCTGGAGTTCTCATTTGTTCTGATGTGCTTGAAGCACCTTTTCACAGGAAGGCACCCCCTGGCTTCCTGTGCATTTCCATGCTCTTAATTTCTTGGTCTGTGCCAGCTTTTTTTTTTTTTCTCATGCTTTACAGGTTGGGTTTTCTTTCTCTTCCCTGTTCTGCCAGCTCTGCCCAGACAGTGGCTAAACATCCAAATATATAGTGTGCCCAACAGTAAGTGTGATCTGGACAAGTTTGCAGTTCTGTTGTTTTCTCAGCAGAAGCAGATTATATTTCCTGTGCTGTTAAATTGCTATGTCGGCTTCAGCTAGTTCTGTTTTCTTCTTCATTTTTTCAAACAACAATCCCCTGAAGAGCAGCTTCTCCCTGGAAGCTTGGCCAGGATGATCATGTTCTGTAATGGAGACCATCTTCCAGCTGTAAACAACATCATTTGTTTAGTTAGACAGGCTTTGGTGCAGTGTTACTGGGGCCAAAATCTGGTTTCCACCAGGAGCAGCAGTGCTGGCACCATGCCCAGGGGCTGGTCCTGGGAGCCCCAGAGGAAGGTGGAAATGTGCACTGCTCACCCCATCCAGCCAATTGTGTCTGGGGTCAGGCCAAAGGTTTTGGGGGGTGAATCTTTGTTTTCTGTATTTCTGGGTCAGCTGGGACTGCTCCTTTGAGGATATCACCTTGGAGGGGTGTCCTGCTGCTGGGGTCTCCATGGCTTCTCTTGCCTCCTGATGCAGCACAGCTCGGAATATCCATCACTCCATGACTTCGTCAGTGCAACCCTGTGAAGGAGACAGGTTTCTGCTGATCTCTGTGCAGCACAAGTGAGCTGCACTGTGTGCTTGGGAATGCTCTTGCCTTTAGCTGAAGTTTGTAGCTCAGGCTGAAAAAGATTGATCTCTTTCTCTGGTGTCCCTTTTATTCTACACAAGGTTTATTTCTGGTTGTAACTTTTTATTCTACGCAGGCTTTATTTCTGGTTGTAATTCCGGTGTAATTCCAGCAGTGTTACCATGTTCTAGCTCTTAGTAAAGCCCAGTGCTCTCTGTAGTGTAACTCTCCTTGATTTCATATTGTAAATTTTCAGACCAAAAGCATGCAGCTCTTGGAGCTCATTGCTGCCAGATGTTGCTTAACTGGACTAAAACACTGTGGTGGAGCAGGACCATGCAGCTGCAGAACGTTTCCTTGCTTTAGAGCCTATGAGGCCAAGGAAACCCAAAAGTATCAAAGCAACCAGATTTTTACACTTTGTCACAGGTTTGGCAATTCCAGTTTCTCCTGGTAAGGATTCCACAAAGCACAGAGGTGGGGTGGCAGCTGTCTTGTGAGGATTTTGGCTGTGGCTGCCCAAACTTTCCAATGGCAGCCCACTTTGCAGCTGCCCTTGGGGTGGAAGCAAGGCAGTGGTATGCCAGCACTCAGCACTGTGGAGGGCTAAACCTTTGCTGGGGGCTGAGTGCTGGTCCAAGAGAGTGGCCACAGCAATGTCCTGCTGGGCTGCAGTGCCCAGTGCTCCTGGGCAAGAAGTGCTCAGCATTGCTCCAGCTTCCTGAGCTTCTACTGCAGTCACTGCCACACCATGCTGCAGAGACAAGGTAAGGATGTGCTCCTTGAGAAGAAATGACACGTGAGTTTTTCCTCTACCTACCTTTTTAAAAAACTTTCCCTTTATGTTCTGTTCAAATATTAGCATCTTGCCCTTGGGTTCTCTTTTCCAGGCTCAGCTCTTTGTACTCCACGTGCAGGGATTTTGATTGTCTCTCTCCATCTGCTTGGAGGGTTTCTGGAGTGCATCATGTGTTTTGGCTGAGGTGGTTCATCCACCCAGCTTTAATGGAAAAGCTGAACCACTGCAGGTCTTCTGTTAGAATGTATTCCACCCACCACATGATCATGGTTGTGTTTTTGTCTTTTTTTTCAGTCACTGATTTATCTGACATCTGGGATTTATAGTCCAGCACATCCCCTTCAGAAATTGTTTGTAGCTGATGTCAAGAGCCTTGCCTAATACTGTAGATTTTAAGGAGATTAATTCTTTTTAGAAGACTCAGGCAGTAGTCATCTACTTTGGGATGGTCTTGCTGGTCTAGTAAGTTAAAAGAGCAAGGTTTGCATTCTTTAAACTTTGTTGGGAAAAGATGGAATTAGTAGAATCAGTTAATATCTTTGTTGGTTAAAAGATTGATTAAATAATGTGGCATATGCAAATATCAGGAATAAGCTGACACCCCCAAAGCTTTATCTAGCTGGTGAACTCCCTTTCGTGTGTATCTCTGTATTCTTGGAAGATAAGAGGAATTTCTAGAAAAAACACTTAAAAAGTGGGAAAGCTGTTTGCAGTGGTTATAGTTCAAAATGGCAAAGGGAGGAAGGTCTTTATTTTTAAAAGATCTCTAGAAAGAGACCTTTTGGGTGCTCCGTAACTCTATAAAAATTTTCACAGAGTCCCAACTCTTCCTAAGAGACTACCTTGAGACCCTGAAGAGAAATGTGAAGCATTCTCCCCCATCCTTTAAATGCCAGGCTATATACAACTATACTAGTTCACATAAAGCAGAAGTTAGACAGGAGGGAACTTTCTCCCACAAGCTATGGGCACCAGTGTCTTGACTTCTGCTGCTCATCACAGCAACTGGTGTGAGAGAAGTGAGGAGAAAATTACCTGTGGTGATGAGTTATGAAAGCTGACTGTGGGTTCCTGTTGTGGTCTCAGTTGCTGAAATGCTGCTCTGCCACTGATGCTGCTATGGCCATGAAGGCTCTGTGCCCGTTTTTGGCAATCCCTGGAGTCTGGTGGTCTGTCTGTGTTGGGGGCTTGGCTGGAAGCTGAGCAGCACTCAGGGATGGAGTTTTGACCAAGTCCTGCTGCCTTCAGCATACCCCAAGAGCAGGCAGTGGTGCCAGGGTGTGTGCATTTCCTGCCTTTAATAGTAAGGGGTGCAGCTTGTTTTCAAAATCACTTATCTGCTTGTTTTCTTTACTACTTTTAGTAGCTTGTAAAATGCTTACAGCCAATAATTTGAACAAACAATGTCAGGGAGCATAACCTCAATCTTGGCAGTGCTGTTGGCTGGACACAAACATCTTTCATAAAATAAATGCTTTGGATAAGTTTTCTGCATGCTGAAGGTGGAAAAGGCTCTTCCCTCCTAAATGCCTCTGTCACACTCACTGAACTGCTCCAAAACTGACCTCTTCTAGCATAGCAAGTCTGTTCAATGGGACTAGACACTCAGAGTATCTGATGGGCCCTGTCTGGGTGGCCCTTGTGGTCACTGCTGTGCTGCTGTCAAGTGGAAAAGCAGAACTTTCCCCAGGCCTGCTCAGTTCTTCCACAGGAAATCATGGCTCCAGCAGGGAGGGTGAAACACTGACCAAGGTCTTGTCTGTGAGAATGCTGGCAGTTCTCCCTCTTGGCCAAAACACCAGGTTTGCAGACAGCCACTGCCAGAACTGATCAGGCCTCAGAGGTACCTGAGGCAGTGCTGGGACCCAGAACTGACCCAGCAAGAACCAAAGGTGCTGGATGGGAATGGGACTCACTGCCTGGACCCGCAGCATTCACTGCTCACAGCTGCTCCCTGCCCTGAGTCCCCAGAAAGGAGACAAGCAATCAGCTTTCTCTGGGGACGTGCTCTGGGGCTGGGAAAGGGGGAGGTAGATTCTCCAATCTTCCTTGAAGGACTGAGCAATGAATCCCTAAAGAAACCCTTAAAGAAACCCTTAAATAAGCAAATGCAGGAAGGAGGAATGCTTAGAAAAGTTTATGGAATGCTGGAATATTTGGCACAACACACCCCAGAATCACAGAATGTTCTGGGTTGGAAGGGACCCACAAGGATCTTCGGGTCCAGCTCTTCCAGCCCATGCAGGGATTGAAACTGTGATCTTGGCATTATCAGCACCATGCTCCACCCAACTGAGCTAATCCCAGGGTCTGGCATGATGAAAGTCATCATTGCCTGGGCAATTGGTGCTGGATCCCCAACTCCTGCTGCCAGCCCTGGGACCAGGGAGTCAGGGGATCCTGCTGTAAATCAACACCCAACACAGCCACAGTGGTCTGTGTTGGGCTATGCATCCTGGGCAGCACATTTACAAAAGATTTTTTCCCCCTCCTGCTTTCTCCAAAGGGAACAAATCAAACTCATGAATCCAGTTTACATCTGAATCTCACATTACTTTGAGCCTTTGGCAGGCTGGCAAGGTTTAGCCTCAAGAGGTGGCTCTGACAGCCTGCTGGCACTGTCAGGCTGCTTGTTTGGAATATTCCATCCCTGACAGTGGCAGCACTTCCCTGAAAATTCCAAGACCTAGGACTTGGAGTGCATGGATCCTTTTCTTTTTATTTGTACAGTTGATCAGAAGGTGCTATTTGAATTGTGTGGTGGTGGTGGCTTGGGGTTTTTTTGGGTTTGGGGTTTTTTTTAAACACTTCTGGTGACCTTTTGACCTCTTTAGGTGCATTGGCTTGCGGGTAGAAAGACAAACCTAAGGGCTGTGTATGGGCCTGCAGCAAATTTCTTGCTCCTCTTGAACTGTGAATTCTTTTTAGTTGGTATAAAAGATGTACTCAAAATCCTTCCCCAAATTCAACCCCCAGACACCTCAAGCTTCAACTAATTTAAAATCAAACAGGCCTTGTGTTGAAAACACTCAGCTTTTGTAACTTTGCTGCCAGATGAGCAGTGAAAAAGCTCTGCCCTGTGCTGAGCTCTGCTGCAGCAGATCCATGTGCTGGATTTACCAGCCTGGCTGTGGAAAACAAATCCCACAAGCTCAGGGGGCATTAGCTCAGCTGCAGCACTACATGGCACGAGGATGTTTTCTGCATGGACAACTTGGGCATCTGTTTTACATCCATACAAGATGCTCAGAAATAGTGAGAGGAAGAAAGAAATGGTGGGGAAAATAGAGAGAGAGATTTGTGAGAGGAGGCTTTGCAGTGAGGACTTGGGATCAGATAAGGAATCAGATGCACTGAGCATTGGCAGGGGAAAGGATGGGAGCAGAATTTGTCAAAGGGCAGCCTGAGCTATGCCCCCCATTGCACTGCATGCAGCAGGGCCATTTCTTGCCTGCTGAAGTCTCAATTCTGTAGGCAAAACAGAATAAACACAGTCAGTATCTGTAAGGATCAAAAGTTGTGTGGAAAGGAAAACTTTATATTTAAATCTAAACAACTAGTGTTTGTTATTTTTGAAAAATAAACATTCTTGTGCATTTTTCCTTCAATGGGTGTTTGCTGAGGAATGGAACAAAACCTTTTACCAATGGTTTGTGTGCAACGAGCAGCAAAGACTGCTGGCTAAGGGTGTCCTGGCACATCTTGTTACCAAAAAAAAATTAATAAATACAGTTCAGAGTGAGTGCTGACATCTCAGGTCACTCACCAGTGGGCCAGCAGTCCTGCAGACCCCAGGCAAGCTCTGTACTGGGGAAATTGGTGGCAGAAGGTTCATCTCTGCTCCTCTGCAGCAGGACTCATGACTTTCTCTTCTGTGTGCTTGCAGCTTGACAGTCCTGACCATGGACTGCTTTGTCATCATGTCCTTGAAGGAGTAAATCGTTGCACTGTGGTAAATAGAAATGCTGCGTGGGATTCCCTTTCTTTAAATAACTCAGTCTCCTTTTAGCACAAAAAATGCTAAGAACTGGACTTTGACTTATGAGGCAGATAAAGACAAAAGTTGCCAAGGACTCTTCTCTCTGCCTTGAATGTAGCATTCATCTCCAGGGATGGGTGTATATGAGTTTGCTAATAAGCTTCTTCAACACCCTCTGAAGCTTTTTCTGGTCAAAGACATAGGTGGGCTATGGTGAAACTGGTGAGACTGCTCTCCACAGCCTGCTCAGCCCTTGGTTCCCCTGAAGATGCCGTTAAAAGTCTGTTTTCCATCTCTCCTCTGGGTCACTGGTATCAGCAGAGCTGGTGATGGCTGTTGTGTCTGGTGTGCTGCACAGTCCTGGAGCAAGGACTGGGCTTTCCCCAAGCCCCCACAGGTGGATACACCTCATCCCAAGGCTGTGCTGGAGTTCAGAGGATGGGATGAGCTTGGGTCCAGTGCTGGTTAGTGATTGAGAGCCAGGGGCAAAGGGACACATCACTGCAGGGGCTCCAGTGGCTGCTTTCTGTGTGGCACATGAGCCTCGCTGGGGAGCACAGCACATGTGCCCCCAGTAGATGGGCAGTCGTTGCAGAGATCACACTCAGGCATCAGGGCAAAATGTTTAAGCCTATGGGTGCTTCCTTTGCCCCTGTTATCCTCCAGGAGCCCCCTTGAGGCTCCTTCCATGGAGAGGAGGCTGGGGCCAGGCACAACATATGGTGCCAAGAAGGAGCAGATGTAAAAACTCTGTGTTGTGTGAAGGGGAATTGGCATGAGCTCCTTTTGGTCATGTCCTACCCCAGTGCAGCCGCAGAACCAAGCCTGCTCTCAGCCACATGCTGCTGCCTGGTTTGTCCTGCTGCCCTCCTCAGTGCCAGCAGTGTGCATGTCTTTGTAAGGAAAAGGGCAGTGGCTTTCCCATTCTAACTGGGAGCTGGGATCAGCTCCCTTACACAGGCAATGCTGTTGTGAATGCAGTGATGTTCCTCCACTTTCTGTCTCTCTGTGATCTCATTATAGTCAATTCTGCCAGGACTAACAGCCTATTTCATCCTCAAATGTGTTAGCCAGTGCTAGGACCCCGTGGACTGCATGGGAGTGCTGCTGCCCTCAGAGATGCACAAATCCTTTCTTGGAGGCTCCCACATGTTGTGTGTGCACATGGAGGGCAGAAAGGGGCTGTGTGTGGGTGTAACCTCCTGGCCCAAGAGCTGCAGTAGAAAACCACAGAGATATTTGTGTGAATTTCCTTTTTCATGCTTGCTTCATTTCCTTTTTTTTTTTTCCCCTTTTTTCTAGCTGTCTTGCTGCTCTCTCCTGATTTACTGCATGTGCTCACGTGGCCTTGGAAAGGGGGGTTCTCAAACTGTTTTGCTTCCAAAAGGAAAAGAAGCTGGCAGGCATTCATATTTCAGTTCTCGAGTTATGTAGGTTAAAGTCTCCCAGTGGGAAAGGGGAAGATATGAGAGAGCAGATTGCTGGTGGCAATACTCACCAGAAGGAAAGTGGAAAAAAGGAGCACGGAATTTTGGAGGCTTGAGAGGTAGGTTTTCTATCTGCTGTTAGAACATAATTTCCATTGATTCGATTCCATTTGTGCTGGGATGTCTGGTGCCTGCAGTGAGAGGAGGAACGAGCAGCTCAGAGCAGATCCTAAGGCACCACTTGTTCATGACCAGAGGTGGGGAGTGTGTTTGTCAATGAAACCTTGTTCTCTTCCATGCAGTGCAAGTGATTTTGGTGTGCTCCCTCTGCTAGGAGTCAGGGAGGTATGTAACACTTTGTGACTAGTTCTGATTTTTCAGCTTCTATATGTTAAAGTGACGGGCTCAGGATATAAGAGTTAAGGGTGAAATGGGACTTCAGACCCTCTCTGAATATTTGTGTTCCCAAACAAAAAAACTTTCATTTAGTTTAGGACCTGTTTGAATACAGAACATGGGTTATGATCAACTATTTGTGGCTTTAAATACCAGAACTCTGCAGAAATTCCCCTGCTGAGTTTTCATTGTTAAGATAATATAGTTAAAATTAAATTTTTGTCAGTATATCCAAAGTAGTATATTGCATATTTTGCATTGAGAAAATGATAAGCTACTGTAAATTAAACTGTTGATACAGAAAAATATGTTTGAAATTATCAGTTGCCTTCTGTTAAACGAGAGATCATCACCCAAATCTGTTGTCTTGGTGAAAAGTTCTATTATTTTTAGGGCTCCTTGAGAATTCTTAAATGCCTGACTGTTTCCACAAAAACTTAATTAAAAATTAATTTCCTCTTTCTAGTATGTAAAATAAAATGCTTCGGTATGATTTCTTCATTGACTTAGAAAGTCTTAAAGTTTGCAAAATGTACTGCTCAGAGTGCAGACACAAGCTGCTGAAATGTAACAAAGACAGACCTCTCTTATTTTCCCCTACTGAAATCCAGTCTTGATATCATTAAATGAATGGCACATAGTACTGTTAAATCAGCCTGCAAGGACTGAGTTTGTTGCTTGTGTCTACATTGAAATTCTCTCTTTTACTGTTCTGATTAAAGCTGTCATGAGGGAAGGAGATGCAGATATATGTCAGAAGGACACTGACAGTGAATGACATTTTGCAAAGTCCCTTCAGTGTCTTTGTGTCCAGCCCTGTGAATTGGGGGAAAAAAACCCCACAGCTTGCTTTCCTAAAAGTCCTTTTAAATGGCTGCTTTCATGCTTGCCTTTTTATATTATTTTAACTGCTCAGAGTGCTGGAAATAGCATGAGAAAACTGCGAAAAGGATAATGAGGAGCTTCAGCATGGCCTTTGGGTCACAGAAGTTCCCAAAGTGTCTCCAGCTCCTGAGTCCATAATCCTTCTGCTCTGCTGGCCACAGAAAGCACCATTTGTAATCACAGATAAACCCCAGCTGCTCTCTTCTCTTCCAGGCTAATTAAAAAGTGCTGTGACGTCCCTAGGGCTAATTGTGTCCTGTCAGTGGGGTGGAGGTGAGGAATTCAGCAGGGCTGCCTGCTATTTCAGCACTCAGCTTACTGATATAACTTCAAATGGTTTTTATTTTATTGTGTCTGTGTGATTTCGGAGCCAAGACAGCTGCAGAGTGCACGTCTAACACACAGTTTCTGATCTGCAGGTGAGTGATAGGAAAGTGCTGCCAGCCCATGAATTTCCTGAAGAAACTCCCTTTCCACCAGCGCCAACATGCAGAACAACTACTCCCTGATTGTCACCACCGGGGAAAGTCTCCAAGTCCTGTCTACAGCACTGACAAACTCATCCCCTCCCTGCCCCCTTACCTCTTCAGATTATCAGTTTTCACTGATTCCAGCCCTCTTCTCTGTGGTTTTTGCTCTCGGCTTGGTTGGCAACAGTGTGGTGGTTGCGGTGCTCTGTCGTCACACTGGCCCCAAGACAGTTGCTAATGTCTACATTTTCAACTTGGCCATGGCAGACCTGCTGTGCCTGGCCACCCTCCCCTTCTGGGCCACCTACTACGCTCAGGGATACAACTGGCTCTTCGGGTCTCTCATGTGCAAGATCTCCAGTTCTGTCCTGTGCCTGAATATGTTTGCCAGTATTTTTTTCATTACGTGCATGAGCGTGGACAGGTACCACGCCATTGTCCATCCTATCCACTCCCAGAGGAGAACTCCACAACAAGCTTATTTTGTAGCATTGGTCGTGTGGGGCCTCGCCTGCTTGTCCTCCCTCCCAACTTTTTATTTCCGAGACACTTACTACGTTGAAAGCTTGGAGGTCAATGCTTGCATTATGGCCTTTCCTTATGAGAACTATGCAAAATGGTCTGTGGCGACGGCCTTCCTGAAAAACACCCTCGGCTTCTTCATCCCCTTGGCGGTGATCACCACCTGCTACATCTGGATCAGGAGGCACTTGCTTAAAGCACAGCAGTTTGGGAAAAGCAGGCAGAAGAGGGACAAAGTCCTGAAGCTGGTGGCTGCTGTTGTCATGGCCTTCCTGATTTCCTGGCTGCCATTCCACGTTTTAACGTTTCTGAACGCTCTGGCTCACATGGACGTCATTGACAGCTGTGAGGTGGTGGGGCTGATTGACACGGCGCTGCCCTTCGGCATCTGCATGGCCTTCGCCAACAGCTGCACCAACCCCCTGCTCTACTGCTTCATCGGCAACCAGTTCCAGGAGAAGCTGCACCGCCTCTTCAAGAGGAGAGTTCACCAGCTCAGCAGCCACCGGGAGAGCTCCTCTGCCAGGAAGGGCAGCTGCTTCAGAGAGGCTGAAACCCCCATGGGCAAAGAGGGGGAGCCTGAGTCTTTCCTGTAGGCACTGGGGCATGGTGTGGGGTGATGTCGGTGCAGCTGGATGTCCCTGCAGTGGTGACATTCCTCTCTTTCTTGCCTTTGTTTTGTGCCCACCAGCTGTTTGAAGGAAAATCTGGATTTGTCACACATGGGTATTTATTCCTCCTCCCTTTTCACAGCAAGAACTCAAGTTTTACACAGAGGGAAGGTTCTGACAAATAACTGTATTGATGACATTTCAATATCAGCTTTTTGTATGGCTGAGATCAGGCAAGTGTTACATATAACAGAAGTCTATATATACTGAAGGACCATTACACCACAGCTATAATTGCATAGGTGCTGAGTATTATACCCTAAACTAATATTCTAAAAGAGATTCTCACTAGAGAATGTGTAAATAAAGCAGTGCAGATACTTCTGTACCTACCTATAAGAAAATATTTTCACATTTATTTTGTATATTTTAATTTTTTTAAATAAATTGCTAGAGATGTATGTAAAATGTATCAAATATACTTCCAGCTTGCTTCTGCCTGGGATCCTGAGGTTGTGTGGAGACATGGTTCTGCAGACTGCTGAAGGTAGGAGGGTATTCTTGTAGAGAAGTAAAACCACAAAGTGCACGTTTTTATACCTTCCTCATAGCAAGTAACATGTCCATAGTCCAGATGGTCCTTTCTTTGATTCAGGGTGGTCATTTGTGACAAAAATGCTGTGGGAAGTGACATGCACTGTCCCACTGCTGTGTGGGTGTGCTGAGCCCCACACACTGTCCAGCAGCCTTTGTGGCAAGGACTTGCTGATTGGGTGGACCTTTTGCATTTTAAACGTCATTACTAATGTGAATTTGGAGTACTATATACAGAAATCCTGAGTGATTCTGTCTTGTCACTCAGAAGCCAAATAATAGTGTGAGTGTACTCATTTTAACTAAAAGAATGAATGAGAAAAAAAGTATTTGGGAAATACAGATTCCATGTTGAGGTTGCTTTTGATGTTTATTTGAAATTTGATTTTGCTGGAGAGGTACTGGACCCTTTGATAGAGGGGCTGTTATAACACCTTTTACCATTGCCTGCAGGTTTTCCCCAGGGCGAGTGACCAAAGATCATTAGTTTCAGAGGATTGTCTCTGATATCAGAGTTACCCTTGAGGCTTGCATTAACATCTTTGATCCAGGGGTCAAGCTGGCCTCCCTGGAGGTCCCAACTGGTTGGAAGCCCTGGGAACCTGGTGCAGGTTCACTTCTCTGGTAGGTAGGGGTAAGTTTCTCCACTGGATTCGACAATAAATGTGTGAATCTCAGATGTGAGATGAAAAGTTTGTGCAGAACTTGGCAGAACAGGGCCTGACCATAAGTAACCCCCTCTCCCTGTCCTGCCCTGGTGTTCTCTAGTGGGGTATGTGGCTGGAGAGATGCTTAGCCCTGAAAGTGGCAGGGCTACTAATGCAGCTCCCTTGGAATGTTTGTGTTGAAAATGTTCCGAGGAGCTAATAGTGTCTGGGGCGTTGGGTATTTCTGGAAGGACAAACTGTTAATTGCTTAGCAATGAGGACAGCAAAGCGATTGTGCTCCAGCAAAACAAACCAGCACACTTAGAAAATCACCAGGTGTTCAAGGCAGCAAGCTCAGAGCAATAATAAGAGGTTGTGGAAGTTTTTACCTTTGCTGCAATACAGGTCAGTAATGAACACAAGTGGGCCATTAATTGACATCTTTGGAGGCTCAAATCAAAAGCTAACCTGCACCATCTGACCTCCTGTGCTACAGCTGTGCCTGTCCTGAGAGGAGGACAGGCTGCATGTTCTCTGCACGTCAGGTTGGACCTGCTAAAAAAACACAGTGTTTTACAAGGATTGTGCCTTTTCCCTGGTGTGCAGACTTATGCTGATAGGGAAAGAATACAGGAATCTGAAATCCAGTTGCATTTACAGCTGTGAGAGGCTGGAGAAAATGAGAATAAAGCTTTCCTGAGGAGAGAACAGCAATGCAGCATCTTCTACTGTTATGGGACACACTCATGTTTGGCTGCTGGAGGGCAGGGATTGATAACCACTTGCAGGGGCTGAGACAGCTGCACCCAGTGTCACTCTCCTAGAAACAGGAGAACAAAAAAAGGGTATTAAATGTGAGGCGAACTGAGAGGGGAGGAAAATTCTTTCTTTCAAAATGCAGTTTCAAAAGAAGTCTACACTGAAGGTCATATTCTGCAAGAGTGGCAAACTTAGTGACCCCAGTGTGACATTTTTGTTTGCTAGATCTGCCTTGTACCTCTAATAGGTCATGAATTTGAGCAGTGCGGTTAAACAAACATCCCAAAAATTCTGTCTATTGAGAGGAGGGAAACAAGGGAGGTTCTGTATCAAGGATTTTGCTTTATTTTTAGAGCAAACTGATTAATGTTGAGCTCTAAGAATTTCTTCCATCATACTCAAGTTCTTATGAGATTTTTGAGGGACTTTTAAAATAAAATGTGTGTGTGGGAGGGGTTTCACAGCTTCTGCATGTTGTATTTATTTTTTTGTGGTTTTCAGCAAAAGAATGTGGATGGAAATTTAAGCAGGTTCTTTTTCCTTGCAATTTAGAAGTGTCTTTTTTCCTTTCAAGAGAAAATTTGGCTGATATTTGAAAATTATTCTGATAGTTGTGCAGGGCTGCAGCCTCTGTCAAGCAGACCCCAATATTTGCAAGGTCCTTTGCAAGCCCTGTGTTGCCTTAGGGTCTCCTAAAAAAATGCAAACCCCTCTCCAAGGCAGGAGTCCTGCAGCCCTTTCATGGAGTGTGTGAGCCTGGGACCTGCTCAGGTCAGCCTGGCCATCCCACAGCACCCACCTGGACTTTGGGACACTAGAGCCACTCACGGTTTTGGCAGGGACTTTGGGAGAGTGTGTAGTCACTTTGGGTTGCCCACTCTGCAAGTGAAGAAAGATGAATTTATGAACAACCATTGGGTTTTGGCTCTGCTGTGGTGCAGCACCATCAGTGGAGAGGAGAGCCTGCTGTGGAAGGAGTGTTTCTTGATGTACCATGTGGAAATTCTGATGGGTTTGGAGAGGGAATTGTTCTGGGGCACTTCTGGACCTGTCAAATTGTCTTTCCCCAAAGAGAGATGGGAAGGATGGTTTCCTACGTGGGTCAGTCTGTGTCTGATGTATTTGCTCAGCAAAACCTGTTTGTGGCTTTCTTTTTTAGCTCTAGTTCATTGCTCAGATCACTTTGAGCATCCTGTGTGTGTCCCTGAGCTGACTGGACTACACAACTTCAATGTACTCAGCAGAGAAAGCCACTAGCTTTTTTATTAGGAGCTAGTGCTGGGTGGTGAGCTAAATGTTTTTTTATGTAAGATATACAATAAGAAATGTTTGGTACAGCATGTTCTCCCTGAGGAGTCGACATGGCCTGAATCTTGTGCTGGCCCCCACCCAGCACAAGAGTTCTGGGAGTTCCTGCCCAGTTCTGAGCAGGAATATCATCTTGCCACTCTGCAGCTGACTGCCACAACTTGGCTTCCCTTCACACCTCCCCTTGTCCTGGCTGAAGGGTGAGGAGGTGCCAGGGAGCAAGTGAACTGCTCATGTTCCCCTATGAAAATGAGGCTTTTTGGATATTCTGAGTGGTCCTGGCAGGAATGCAGTGTAGCGTGGGGATTGAGGTGGTCTGGAAGCCTTTGCTCCAAGCTGGCAGCCTTGCTGTTCTCATCTGAAATCTCCTTCCCATGGAGGAAAATGACTGCTGTTGTTGGGAAGGGCTGCTCCATTCTGCAAGCTCCTGGGATGTGCTTTGCTCACACCTGCAGGATCCAGCCGGGTGGGACAGAGAGGAGCTTGTTCCTGTGGCCCAAGGGCTCTGCCAGGAAGGGTTTGAGTCTCCCATGGCTTTGTTTTACCAGATACCTGTCTACAGAAGGAGCCCAGGCTGCTCTCTTCAACATCCCATTTCCTCTGGTTTGGGGGCAGTGGTCATCCCATTGCTGTGGCTGTGGCAGAGCATCCAGCGAGGCGCCTGTCTGAGAGAGGATGCTGCCTCCTTTGCCAGCTTTCATTAGAACCAAAGTGGGAAAGAAAAAATAGTAATAAAACCAGGTAAAAATGGAGATATTTTATTGAAAGCAGTGGGGGTCAGGAGTAGAGTGTCCCAGGACAGGGAGCAAGCCAACCTCTCTCATTGCCTCTTTCAAATGTTTACTTTCCACTTCCTCCTCAGCTGAGGCAGAGCCTGGATTTGACACTGTAAGCTCCAGTTAATCCTACAAAGCACTTCACAGGGGCAAAGCATAGGGACATGGAAGTGGATGAGTGTCATGACATTAATTTCCTTGCCATGAGGTACATCTGAACTTGCCCTCATCCCCTTCTGACCTACAGCCAGTAGCTCTTTGGAGTTAGCAAACATAAAATCACAAAGCTCTGCTCCATCCCTGTAAGACAAGCAGATATGCGAAGCCAGGATCCAGTGTGGTTTTTGGCTTCTAGTATTGTAAATTTAAGTAAGAAAGTCAACAACTGCAATAGTGCAAATGGGACTTATCTGACACAGCTGTCAATTCTACACAACAGACATCTAAAACAGAACAGACACAAGGCTGTCTCTAGAAATCACACTTACCTTGCAACAATTGTAAGAAACATTTCTAACAAGAAGGGAGATGGTAAAATCATTAATGCATTTAGACAGAGATGTAATGGATATACGAGATACAATTACTCTTGAACAATGTGTGGGAGAGCTTGTATGCAATGGAATAAAAAGATGTCACGTTCATATAAGATATTCATGAGGCGACAGAACCAGCATTTAATTATTGCTGTTTAAACTTGGGTTTATTCTGCATTCACTGGTGATGCCTCTGAGGTTGTGTTTTGAATCTGTCTGCCCACACATATTGCAGTTCATTCATCGTGGAGGAAGTACATGCATGTAGAGCTGTTTGCTGTGCTGGAGGCACAAGACTGAACTCTGAAGAAACTTGTTTGTGCCTTAAACTCGGCCCTTTGTGCCCTCAGCCATCCCAGCCCCAGGCACTCCAGGATGCCCCATAGCCAGGGTGCAGTGCCATACCCAAAGCACAGCTTCCTTCAACAAGCACAGCAAAAGAACATCTGCAGGAGCAGTCAGGACAGCATCCAAACACGAGCTCTTTCGCAATGGCAGGAAAGTGAACATGATGGATACAGCCTGTGCTAGGCATGCAGATGTGTCATGGCAGGGTGGAAATATGTGGCAAGCACCCAGTCTCTGGAGAAAATGGAGCACTCCAAGAGATGATGTTTGTGTGACATACAGCTACTGAAGGCCTTCACTTGCAGGGGAGCATGGTAAGTTTTCTCAGTAGATGCTGAGCAGCATTACTTTGTGGTTTTTGACTTGCTCTGGTGAGTGCTTTGAGGGATTTTACACATAGTGAAATCGATGGTATGATGCTCGTGTGCTCCATCTCACCCTGCAAACACCTCCACTAATCACAGCCAGGTTTCTTCCAAGGGAAGGACTCTGCAATTTGTCTCTCTGTATGTATCTCTACTGTTGTGATTATTAATCCCTTTTTATCATAAAGTGCTGAGTGTCCGTGTTTACTGTATTAGCTGTCTGCTGCCAGTAATGCTGCTCAGCATTTCAGTGGTTGGGAAATTCTGAAAGGCTGATAGATAAGTACAGTGTGCAGAATTTGTTCTTCAAAGTGATTGTGCTTCTTTGCAAGAGGATTCCTCCATGTGCATTCAGTGTGCAGTAAAATGTTTGACAAAGGTCTGCTTAAGAATGTACTTCTAGACCAAGACAGATTTCATAATGTAATCAGCATGTTTAATAGTGAAAAGATTAATTTTTCTTTTAAATCTGTGCTAATAGACTGCTGTAGTTCAGTGTATATGGGCTTTTACTAGGGAAATTATACAACCCAAGGGAGTTGTTTTCAAGGACAAGTCTAAGTAAAAAAAGACTTTATAGTATGATACTAAATACTCTGTATTAACTGGGTAAAGCCCTGTGGATTTTACTGGCACTCAGCCTGGGATCTGACAGTCTTTCATCTGATTTTATGTTGATCTTCCTCCCCTGCAGGAATGCAAAGAGACTTTTCTTTCACTCACTGGAAAACCCGAAAAAGAAATTACCAATAGGAGTCAGGAATGTTTATTCCTTCAGCTCTGAGTCACACATGAATCTGAACTACTACACAACAAGCTGCTTTTCTAGCTATTTTATTCTGATGTTTGATACTTTGCAGGTAACTTTAGGATGAATGAGGAACACAAACAGGTAATGAAAACAAAAAGTGTTGTTGTTGAGCTACCCTATAGCTAATTCAGCTGCAGTAGTACCCAGAGCAGTCTTCATGCAGAAGGCAGGAGCAGATTTTATCCATGCCCAAGCTGGGTGGGAAATGATGTACTTGTTGATTGCAAAGTCAGCACTTGGGTTAAGCAAGACTCTTGTGAGGCATGCCATAAAAAAAAAAAAAAAAAAAAATATCCACCTTTTAAAAAATGTCAGAAATCCATGTGGAATGAACAGGGTGGATTCAGCACGAGGGTCTGTTGAAAGCCTCTGGACAATTACTGAGGAATGTTCACAGGCTTTCCTCGGGTGGCCGGGCAGGTGACAGTGCCCAGGACTTGCGACACCGGCAACACGCGGCCGGCCCGGTGAGCCAAGTTAGACACGGCTGGAGACACACAAAGAATTGGGAGGCTGATCCCAGAGCTCCCTCCTACTGTGGATCCTGGCATCAGTCTGATATATTCATGATCCCACCTACCCTACAATCTTCATTGTAACATTTCTGCAGGTGTGCAGAAGTGTTCAAACCGGCCGAACTCATGATAAAGGAGGCCAATGCTGGCAGTTGACTCCTAAAGCTCTCACACAGGGCAGTTCTTTTGGCCTTGCTTCCTTTCTGTATCAGACCAAATATTTAATGACAATACACAGAGGAAATCTCTTCACTGGGGTCTTAAACCCTTCCTGTTACTTGTTTGAGAAGAAAAATACTCCAAAGGAGCAGAAGCATTAAGTGAGAGGCAGAGCAGCACAGCAGGGATGGACAGCCTCGTGCTCCCTTTCACGTGGTCACCAAAAGAAGTCACTACTTTTCTTTTCATGGGGATGTCCAGAGAACTCTCCAGAGAAGCAGTCTTACATAAATCACCCTTTTGCAGGCTCACATTTACTAGCTCTACAGGCTCCAGTCTTCATTCTTTGCCTAGCAAGAAGCATTTACCTGCTCTGTAAACAAATTATCCCTTTTGAACTGATGGAGGAAGTCAATGCTCAGCCACACCATGGCAAAACATACTTTATTTCCTCATATGAACTCACCTAATCACCTATACTGCTACAAGCATTTGTTCAGCACAAAGCTTATCCTGCAGAAGCACAGTGATTTTGCAATGAAGTGATTGTGCTTGTGGTGGTTGGGAAATTCTGAGAGGCAGGCAAATTAGGAACCCCTTTCCTGAGGCCATTTTGCCTGAGTGCTCTCTTGCTGTAGGCAATACTCAGTTCCTTGTTAGCC